GTGGCAGGAGCAGATGAGGCTGTGGGCAAGGGGTGTTTGCTTTGGGGGCTCCATACTCGGTCCATGTACAGCCAGCCTGGGGGCACAGCATTCGGGAGTGTAGTACACGTGTACGTCCTGCCTGTGGTGGGTGGGCAGCGTGAACCCCAAGTGCGTGCCTGTGTTTGTGCACCTGTTCCTGTCCTGGGTGCCTGCAGTGAGGGGGCCATGACTGTATGTGAGGGTACAGCCATTTACATGCTTGTGGTGTTGTGTGTATACTGTGAGTGGCCTGTGTGTGTACAAGGTGGTACACCTGGTACAGGGCCCGGCACGGGAGAGCACTTGGGGCAGCTGCGGTGTTGCCGTTTGGGTGGGTGGTCATGCTGGGAGTGTCTGTGCAGCCAGGAGCCCCCCTGACTCAGCCCTTGGTCTCCCCACCCAGGACTTCGACCGCCTGCTTGAGGCCCTGCGGGCTGCCCTCACCAAGGACCCGGGCACTGGCTTCGTGTTCGGCTGCCTCAGCGGCCAGGGCCGCACCACAACTGCGATGGTGGTGGCTCTGCTGGCCTTCTGGCACATCCGGGTATGTGCGGCCTTGTGTGAGGTGGGGTCCGCCAGGCAGCCATGGGCACCGGGTATCTGCGGCCTCGTGTGAGGTGGGGTCCGCCAGGCAGCCACGGGCACCGGCTATCTGCGGCCTCGTGTGAGGTGGGAGTCTGCCAGGCAGCCACCAAGTCCCTGGCACACTGGCTATAGCAGGAGGGAATGGGGGGCAGGGCTGGTGCCTGGTGCAGCCCTGGAGCCACCTCTCACACCCAGGCAGAGAGCATTTGGGGTGGCAAACCCCAGGCAGGGACTCCTGGCAGTAGGGGAGGGGCAAGTTCAGGTGGGGTACCCTGTCCCAGCAGCTGTTGTTCCCCCAGGGCTTTCCCGAGATGGGTGAGGAGGAGCTCGTCAGCGTGCCTGACGCCAAGTTCACCAAGGGCGAATTTGAGGTGAGCATGCCCTGTGGGATTCACCAAGGGGTTTGATTTCCATGGGGGGTGCTCAGAGAAG